TATATTTTTATCGTCCAGGTCGATTACTGTATATACTTCGGCAGTATTATTTTCCAATATTAGATTTATTACTAGAAGTAAGATATTTTTTTAATAAAAATAATCGGAGACCGAACAAAAAAAATACTTATAGAAAATAATTAAGTTCTATAGAATAAATAATAGTAGTAGAGTTATATTAACTTTTCCTGCTCTATACTAAGTTACTTATACTCTAATTAAAGCAGACTAAAAAATAATATAAAGTCAGTAATATTAGGGCTTGACTGATAACAATGCCTTTTAGTACCTTATTATATCTTACTAACTTACTACTTAAAAAAGACTAAAACATCCTCTAGCTTATAGTTACTGTAATAAAACAAAAATATAGCTCTTATATAGCAATTATACAAGCAGCCTATAATATCAAGTCAATCTTTATAATAAATAGTTGTTTTGGAATTTGCGAGAAAAACTAAATCTCTATTTATTTACATCCGGTAAATAATTAGAAATCCTTGTAAAGGGAAAAGGTCAGTTAGGTATAGAATAGTAGCAGTCTATTGATTTCAAGACTAATTCTTACTATTCTAAAGGTTTAGCAAGGTCCTAAAAGTTAAATACTAAAGAAGATCTAAGTTATTGATATTATAACTGTTACGCGAAGAATATATAGATAGATTATTAACAATCTATTATAACTACAGGAGTTATCTATAACAATTAGACTTTCTTTTATATACAGCTGTTTTTAGTAGTATAATAGCGGTATAGTACTGCTGCTTCGGCGCAGAAGCTAACTATTTTTAGAAATATAATAGTAGATAGCAGAAAATTATAGGCTAGTTTTATTCAGAATATATATTATAAATAATACTATTCCGCTTTAGAAATACTGTGGTTTTTTAATAATAATATTAATAATATAAATATGCTTCTATATATCTTTCTTAATATTCTTAATATTATTAGTATTGTTTATTTTACATCGAAAAGTTCGTGTTTTTCTGCTGTTTTTATATTTATTTATTTGTTCTAATATATATATATAATATTTATATTTTATATTTTTTTTAATATTATTAAGATACTAATAAGTAGCTGTAGTATTTGTACCGTAATACCATACCTTCCGCGGTGAATTATTATTTTTTAACTAAGATTCTATTTTCTTTCAATATTTTCTTTTATCTGAAATATCTTCGGATTAGTATAAAGAACTATAAATATAGTTCTAGTAAAAAATTCAAGCCCGGGTATATTTTTAATACAGTTTCGTCGATAAAATATTAATAGTATATTAGTTAGAAGATAAATTATGCCCCGATAAGTTTTTTTTTTTTTTTTTTTTAAACTTTGACTTTAGCTAAACGTATACTAGACGGTATTAAAAATACTAGATAATATTAATAATCTATTACTAATTCTCTACTAGTTAAGCTTTTTTTAGGTGGCGGAGATAAAAAAAAAATATAATTCTATTTTTTATATTTTTTTCGGTTTTTTAACTGCTAATCTTACCGCTTAGTTTTCTGACGCGGAAAAGATTTATTATATTAAATATAGTATAGCAGCTGCTACTAAAAAAGCTATAGTTATAAATAATATTAATTATTTATAAAAATTATATTAATTTTTCGACAGAAAAATCTGGCTGCTTATTATAGTTTTATTGTGGAGTATTATACTCTTGCTGCCCAGACTAAAAACTTATATAAATATTTTTATTTTTTATCTAGCAATGCTGGCTATCTATTTTAATATTATATAGTAGTTTTCTATCTGAATAATATGATCTGTAAGATTATATATTTTTATACTGATAGAAATAATAATAAAAACTAGCATGTTACTAATACTAAGAATATTTTTTCTATTAATATTATCTATAGTTTATAGTTTTATTAATATTCTGTATTTATTTTTTATATAATAATACTTCTTACTAATAATTTTTATTTAGTTATTTTTTAGTTTTAATAGTCCTGCTGAATATATATAATCCGGGTTTTTCTTAATATTATTCTCGCTGTAGTTTATATATGTAGATATAAATAAAACAAATATATAATATAATAAATTTATATCTTTTTATTATAGATTGCGTGCATGTTGTATATATTTTATAATTATTTTATTATTATTTCTGCTGTATATTAATCTTAATCTATATATTATAGAATAGAAAGCTGTAATCTGATTATTAAATTTACAGATTTTTTACTAAATATTTACTAAATTTTCTGCCGGTAACTATTAATTATATTTAAAAAACTATTTCTGCTATTTTATTAGATAGAATTAGTTTTTTTAATAGTATAGATTATCTAGTACCTGCTTTATCTTCTATTTCTTATTATTATCTAGGTCTGGTATTAGTAAAGTTTCGGAAATATTTTTTCTAACTTTTTAAGATTCCAGCAGAGTAATATAAAAAATATTATATAACTAAGTATATTTATCGGAAAGATATAGATAAAATACTTGTTTTTCTACAGCTTCTAGAATTCTAAAAAGTCTTATAAATTTTGGAACTAATTTTTAAGAAGTTTTCTTAAATTTAATATTTATAGTAGATAGCTTGACTAAATCTTCTTGTTTAAAAATATAGATTATTTTATTATCTTGCTTAAAAAATAGAGTACTATAATAACTATTATAGTAAGTTAATTAGTTTTTACTTATTTTTTATTAGTTTTTTTTTAGTTTTTCTTATAAAATATTCAGCTTTTCTAGTTTTTCTGATATTAACGGTATTTCTATTTTTATAGAGTTATTTTTAATTCGGAGTTTAAACTTAGAAGAGTAATCTATTAGGACTTTAAAAAAATTATTTTTATAAAGATATTCAGATAATTATTATATATAAATTCTATTTTATTTAGTAAATTTATTTAGTAGTTTTAATACTCGGTTATAAAGCAGCGCAGGTAATATTTAAGAACTTAGTTAGTTTTTTTTATTTAGCTGTTGGTTTACGGATAAAATATGGTCGATAACTATTTTTTAATTTTAGTTTAATAGTAAAAATCGGACTAAAATTAACTTGTAAATATAGAGTTTTTGTTTATAATTATATTATAAAGGGCTTTATATTTTAGTTTAATTTCTTAATAAAACAGTTCGGCTAGTTCTTCTGCTCGAATTATATATAATACTATTATAAAATAGTTTATTTTTGTAAAACAATCGATAATTACTAATATTAAATCTATTTAATAATTCTAGTAGTATAGTTTGGGTAGTTCTATAATAAAATTTATAATAATTTTAGTCTATAATTTTAATAGAATTAGTAGGCTTTCAAGTTCTTTATATAGTCGATGTCTAGCTGGGGTTTGGTATTAGTAGATAGAACATATTACTATATAATTTTTTATATTATTTTAAAGACTAATCTAATAGAACTTTTTATAGAGGAATTATTTAGTTTTATTTTATTTAAAGTAATTTATTAATAAATTATTATAGTATTGCTGTAGTAGCTTTTAATATAGGCTTTTTACTTCTAGTATATAAAGTCTATTTTTAAAATATAATAATCTATTTATTATAATTTTCTAATATTTAGATAGTTTATTTTTCTTTTTTTAGAATTCAGAATCTTGATTCTGAAGAGTTTTAATTAAATTTTTTAGATTATTATTATAAATAGATTTATAAATCTTTTCGGCTTTGCTTATACTTTTTGTAGCCGTAATACTAGCGGATTGTTTATAATTTATTATATAAACTATAGTTTAGTCAGCCGATTTTGTATTAGCAGTACTTATAGGCCTGTTTAATATTATATAAATACTAGATCTAGGTTTTTTCTGTAAAAGCATCTTGTTATATCTAAACTAGGATTTTCTAATCTTAGTTACTGCCGAGATCTTAGATACTACTAAAATAGATACTAACCGGTTACAAAATATCTGTATAATATTATTATTATAAAAGCTTTTTACTGGCTCAAATAATTTAGATAAAATGTTAGCAGGATTACTCTTATCTAATTAGTATTTAATTATAAAGTTAAAAGAAGCTAAAATTATATATTAATATACTTAATATTTATTAAGCCGGGATTAATTTATAAATAATCTAAGATTTATATAATTAGATAGAACTTTAATAGAATGCTGAGTTCTATCGAGATATTAATACTAATATTTAAAAAAGTAAATAATAGCGAAAAGTTCTTAATCCGGAATATTCCAGTTAAGTTTTGTATCTAAGAATTTTTTTAACTAAATAATAACTATATAATATTATTCTGTTGGTCCTGGTTAAATTAAAATATCTGCTATTTTTTTATTACAGGCGTCGGTTTTAATCCGAATAGATTAAGTTAGATTAAAGAAACAAAAAAGAAAAGTAGTCTAAAATATATTAATAAATCGATAAAATACCAGTCTTTTGTCTAGAACTAAATAATATATTTTTAGTTTTTTATTATTTTAACTTTTCTTCAGAAGGTTTGTCAAAGGTAGTACTAATAAAAAAAAGTTGCAAATAAATCTACAGTAGAAATTATAAAATCTTAAGAAGATCTAAATATTATAGTAGATAGTAGATAACAGCTATAAAACAATAGTTTTAACTCGGTTAGGATCTATTATAATATTTATAGAGAAAATAATATATCTAAGAAATTTAACTTATTATTAAAAAAAGAAGTATTTAGATAGTTTAGTATATAGATTAGCTTTTTATAGTTGTACCAGTATTTTCTTAATATATTTATATCTTGTTATTAAGAAAATAAAGATATTATCTAGATATATAATACAAATAATATCGAGAATATTATATAATATAAAGTATATATAGTTTTAAAAAAAAATAAATGCATTGGTCAAGCTAAATAATATTATTATATACTTAAAGTAACTATAATATATGCGAAACACAGTCTTTTATTTATTTTTTTTTTTAATATAAATATAATAATAGATATTCTAAATATTAATTTTACTAAAGTACTTGTATCTAGCTAATTAGTCAAGGATTTCAGAGATTAAGAATAGTAGATATTAATTTTTTATTATAATTTTATTAAGTTTATAATAATCTATATATAGCCGCAAACTTTTATTTTTTTTAGATATAAAAAGAATAGGGGTCCCTGTAGGGCTTTTAAATAAGTATATTTTTTTATTAACAGTATTTTTATTAATATAATCTTTAAATACTAAAAGTTCTTTTTTTAAAAAAAAGTAAATAGGTCTAAATAGGAATAATTCGCCTTCGAGAAGGTTGATAGTATAATTCTTATTATAATATTTAAAAAGAATTTTAGATTAATTAAAGAAGAAGATATCAGTAAATTCAACCAGTTCTAGCAGAATAAAATTATTTTAATAGTATTCTGATTTCTTATTATTATTTAGAAGCCACAGTTTCTTTAAAATTTTAATAATTATATAAATACAGATATAATTTTAGTAAGCTTTAGTAAATTTCCGAGAACTTAATTTTTAGATTTAACTAAATTTAAACTATTATTGCTTGTTTTAGAAAGACAAATAAATTTTATAGTTAAGCAGAGTAGTTATAAAAAGCAAGATTAGAATATTTTAAATAATAATAATATATAATCTAGTAAAATACTATTATATTTTTTTTAAATTAGTAATATTTAAAAAAATATTTTATACTCTATAACTAGTAATAGAGGTATAGTTAATAACTTTAAGCTATAGTAAGAATTTCCGGGATTTTAAAAAAAAGTATTATTATATAAATCTAATACTAACTAGATTATATACCGCACAACTATTAATGTCTGTATAGATTTTTCTAATATTAGATATTTATATTAGTATTAATATCTTATCGGCTATTTTTATTTTATAATATAGGGCCGAGACAGAAAAGTTAGTCTTAATCTATTTTATTTTTTTATATTACTTTTTCTAGCTTGTAGTTCTTGAATTCGAGCTGATCTTTTTTTTTTAAGAATATCAGTTGGCGAGATGCTTAGTACTATTATATAAAAAGTATTATAAAACTTTTCTGACTAGATTAGAATAATCAGTTTTAGAATTAAAAGATTAAGTATTTTTATAGAATTATGACTGTTTTTATAATATATTAGATTTATTAGATTTTTATTTACGTTTTTATTTCTATATATATAGATTTTAATAATAAGTAGTAAGAGATATTATCTTGTCTTATTTTTTAAATAATTAGTATATATATTTTTTAATATAGCAACTAAAATCAGAAAATAATTTTATAAAAAAAATATAGTTATATTTTTTTTTAGTAGCTCTAGAAAAATATTATTTTAAAGTATCGAGATAGATATAAAATTTATAAGAATTTTAATTATTTTACTGCTGAGCTTATTCTAGCTGGTTTATTATATCAGACTTAAAAATAATAGTATTTCGGATATAAAAGAGTATTTATTTAGTAAAAATAAACTATAAATAGCTAATATTTTTTTTTTATTTTAGTAATAATTCTTTAAAATAATAATACTATTTCTGCCGATAAGTTATGCTTATATAGTTTATAACCTCGAGAATCTTATAGTAGTTATTACAGAACTTAGATAATATCTTCTAAAAATTATAATTTAAATTGTAGAACTATTTCTGGCGTTTTTAAATATTAAAGAAAAGTTTAAATTACAAAATATCTTTAATTTTAATATTTATTTTAGATTTACTTAAAAAAGAGAAAGTTTTCCGTTACTAAGTTAGTATTAATTTAATATTATTATATTAGATTTTCTATTACAGTTCGGCAACTTGTCTTTTTAACTACTAGTAATCTTATAGCTAACTAATAATATTTCTAACTGCGGTAAGATTCTCTACCGAAGAATCTAATAGTAAAAATAATAAACTATCAGTAGTAGAGAAAGTTTCCGACTTAAAACTACTATCGGAATATAAGAATTACAGTAATATACTGTATTCTATAAATAACTAAAAAAGAAGAATTAGAATTATAAAGAAAAAAGATTAATTAGATATAGAATAGTAGTAGTCTATTAATTTTAAGACTAATCCTTGCTATTCTAAAGATTTAGCAAGATCCTAGGAGTTAAATACTAAAAAAGGTCTGAGTTATTAACGTCATGACTGTTGTACGGAGAATGTGTAGATAGATCGTTAACAATCCGCCATAGCTACGGGGGTTATCTATGACAATCCTATATTAAATCCTTCTAAAACCTGACTAAATAGACTGGTATAGCCAGAAGATATTTAACTAAAACCGTCAGACCTGGAAATATAAATAGAAGCAAGAGGTCGGCTTAATTTATGAATTTCGCTGTATAGAATCGGACCTTCAGTTCAAATAAAGTTGTTTTTTAGTATGATTATATTATTTGGTTTCTGTAGGCGCTTGCCATGCGCTGACGATTAGGGCCTTCTCAGAAGAGAAATCTTTCGTCGTTCATAAGACCGAATTAATCGATAAAGCCGTACTGTCCTATATTATCCATCTCTAATTTGTTCCGTCAACATCTATTATTGACAAGCCGATGTACGTAGGGGGTCATAGTCGGGCCACAGTATGACGTACAACAAGTTGGTACGGTACAATGTATACCAAAGAAGTTATATCGTTTCCAATGAATGGTATGTTACCGAGCGGTGAACGTCAGCCTTACCGCCTTGAGGAGAAGTCAAGGCGGTGGATATAATCCAGGCGTTGTCCAGTGAGGTGGATTCCAGACGGTGAACCTGTCTAAGTCGGTAGACCAGTCTCAGGCGGTAGACCAGTCCGAGGCGGTAGACCAGTCCGAGGCGGTAGACCAGTCTCAGGCGGTAGACCAGTCTCAGGCGGTAGACCAGTCTCAGGCGGTAGACCAGTCTCAGGCGGTAGACCAGTCCGAGGCGGTAGACCAGTCTCAGGCGGTAGACCTGTCTGAGGCGGTGAACCAGTCTCAGGCGGTAGACCAGTCTCAGGCGGTAGACCAGTCTCAGGCGGTAGACCAGTCTCAGGCGGTAGACCAGTCTCAGGCGGTAGACCAGTCTCAGGCGGTAGACCAG